GTTTAATCAACAATGTGAATTTATTTACCAAAACTAATCTTTGTCTTAAACAGTAAGAATTATTAGGCAATAAGGATCTTACTTTAAAGAAATAAACTTACATTTTAATAGGTTGTTTATCATGTTAAAATATGGACAAAATCTTAGCTCACATTAGTATAGTTAAACTAGGAAAAATAGCCTGAAATACCCTTAAATTAATTATAGTCAATTTAGTATATATAAATCTCTTTTTTAATCTTTCTAACTTTTTACATCATTTGTTTAGATAACAATATTAACAAACCCTAAGTAAAACTTAGGAAAATACTTTTATCATTGAAATATGAATATAAAGACGTTGTTTTACCCAAAGATGATTTCCTTCTTCTTTTTAGGATCCATGTGTGCTTTTTCTTTGTTGAAGCATCCTTTTCTTTTAGAAAATTTTTTTGTTATACTTGGAACAATTTCTGAAAACCTTAGAATCTATAAACAAATTACTGTACTTTGATAAGAAATATCAATGAAAATATAGTTAAAATCCTTAGATATTTTGTAGACATAATTATAATTATCATCTTATGAGTTTGAACAGTAACTTTGAGAATTAGAAACTACTTGAAGATTGTATTTTCACTTAAAAGCACATTTATCTCAAATATCTGTAACTGAAAAGGCAGAGTATCTGATAAATGTAAATACAAAACATAAATTATGGGTTTTCTGTTGAAGAAAAACAATTAGGCAAATATATATTAACTAATCAATTAGGCATGTGTTAATTATTTTATAAATTAACAAATATAGATTATCTAAATATCTTAAAAATATATATATTAAGAATAAGAACATAACTTATAATTGTATTAATTTTATGTAACCACGTGGTCTTAAAATATTTGGATCCATTTTAATTTATTTTTAACTAGGAGTGCACTCTTCTATGTGACGTCACTTGATGTAACTGAAATAAAATCCTTGTTGAGTATACATATTTATTTTTTATAGTTAGGAATGAGAATAAGGATTTTTTGGTCATCACAGGAACATTGCCGGCTTTGTTCCTGTGGCGAGCAAATGCATCCTCATAACCTCCAAAATTAAAAGTAAAATATAAAGAAGCATGTTTGATCTCTCATCAATAGAACATTATTTAGTAACACAACTATAGAGAAAAGTCAGGTTATTTAACTCAGAACTAACTTAAATTTAGGGCTGCAACATAGAAAGCTGTGGAATTAAATTTTGTCTGAGAAAGATATCTTTCATTAGCATTTACAGGTAGGCATTCTTAAAAATACAGGCTCTGAACAGCTCCGGTAGAAATCTGAAACACAGTAGTACAGATTAGTGGCTGGAAGGCGGGACTAGAAGTCCCGTCTGAGTGACTGTGGAAGAACCAATCGGAAGCCCGTGAAAGTGTGGGAGGTGGGACCAGGAAGCCCGCTCTTCTGGCCAGGCACCCCATGGTTACCATGGTGATGCAAACAACATGGAGTCCGCTGCCCATTTTCGGGGCAAAATTTTTCCTAGCCGATTGCATTTTGATTGATTTTGTCTGCCTTTTCCCCCGCCTGGCCAAGATCCTACTGCGGTAGCAGCTTGTTCTGTCTCTGCGACCTGCGGTTGCAGCTTATGTACATCCTGCACTTTTTTCTGTGGCACGTGGGTGCTCCAAAGGTTTTTTAGCAGCAAACGCTAGCATTACCATCAGATCTTAAGTTAGTCTGTTTGGCATTTAGGTCAAGTAATTCAAGGGTTAAAAGCACTGCTGGCCGCAGGGGCTAGGACCCCATAGCAAGCAGCAGCGGCTAAAGTCTCTTGTCCCCAGTGGCTGAGTTACAGCCATTCTGATTCATAGGACAATCATGTAGTAAAAAGGTCCGGACATACTTTCTGAGTATTGACAAAAACAATAGAAAATTGAAACTTATTTCTCTCCAGGTAAACATCACATTTTCTCTCCCTTTTTCTCACTCTCCTAGCGCAAACTTCTAGAACATAAAGGCCAAAAAATATCTCTCTCTTTTTTTTTTTTTAAGCTTTTTTTTTTTTTTTAATTAATTAGGTTCCAGTAAGAAAACATGGGAACAGGTACCTTTTCTGGGCCAAAGCATTCATAATAATCTTAATAATAATAATAATAATCATCATCATCATCATCATCATCATCATCTTCATAATAAGTCTCCTACTCTAAGCCATCTTTTACCATCAATGGTCCCTTCAAGGGGAAACCATGGACATAATTCTCCTATGTATGAAAAGAATAATTTTAAGTCCTTTTTCTTAACACGTGCCCCCCGTGTCTTGAGGGCCTCCTTGAGGCCTGACAAAAACAACTCATGTGACAAAACTGCTTGTCCCATGGTGGGTCACTCACCTTGCGTCGTCCTCACTCTCCTCCTGGATCTGTCTCTCGGTCGTGTCTGCCGAGGCGATCTCGCGCTCCCGCTTGGCCAAGTCTTCCCGGAGGACGGCGTTCCCCCTCAGTCAAAGGCTCGAGCCCCACACTGGGCGCCAAATGTCCCGTCCGGCAGGACACATCAACGTGGGCAGCGAACCTAGATGGGGAGGAATGAAGGGACAAGAGACACGAAAGGTGACAGCAAGACAAAAGTTCTGATCAAGCTACAAACTTTTATTGTTCACACAGGGGTATTTATATGGTGGGGATGGGGAAGCTCTCTTATCGGCAGTTGCTGGATGTCTGCACAAGGTGAGATAACCGCAGGATGTTTCAGGAAGATAGGTTTCAGGAAGATAGGTGGCCGCAGGATGTCTCAGGTGAGATAAGTAGCTGCAGGATGCCTCCCAGGCAGGATGTCTCCCAGGGGGCTGTCAGGCTAATCTTTGAAGGAGAATTTCCTTCTAGTCCCTGACAATGACCCTCCCAGTAGTTTATGGTAGTTGATAACATATTGGGAAACCATGTAGTTCAGCACATACTCTCCTGGTGGGCTTAAACCAATCAGTTCAAAGGAATCCCCCTCTTGTACTAACCAATCACCCTTACCCAACTTGTTTCCGCCAGTATATGTGCTAATCATATTTTAGAGTTGTTTTATGATTTTCCCGCAGTGTGTGATGATTTGCTAAGAGATGGTATGATGTAAGTGAAGTCCCTCCCTTCCCCAAGAGTGTATAAAACTGCTGCAAACCCTGGGCCTCTCAGCATCACCAGTTGCTGTGTGCGCGTGGAGGACCGAGCAAGCTTGCAGTAAACACCTCTTTGCTGCTTACATCAATCATGGTCTTTTGGGGGTCCCGAACTGGAGCATATCAATACCCCTCTTCAAACACCAGTTTTTTCAATCATGCCAGAAATATTTTAGACATTTCTCTCAGAGTAACAGGCATGAGTTCATTGGAAGGAATGGAAGAAAGACAAAGGGACACTGTCAAGGGAGAGAGTGGGTCATCCCAGAGAAGAGAAGAATGGCATGCTTCTCCTGCCTCCAGTTTTATTGGTCCCAAGGAAGTTTCCAGAAAGTCTCACCCAGGTCCACCTCCTGACTTTTGGCTGGTGGCAAGATGATGTAAGATTTTCGAGTTCACACTTCCCCACTACCATGACAACTCTAGGTCACTTTGGCCCATCCTGACTGTTTCTAATTGGAATCTGTTTTGACATATTTTATGGTTAGGGAGAATTATTTCCCTGAATTCTGGGATCTGGTCTACATAAGGGTCACAAAATTTCCCTTGACCCCTTCAGGGTAACTTGTGCTCTTATTGGCATTTGGGGCCAGCATTTCTCCTGCAGATAACAGGTAATTTGTGAGAAATATAGTATAGCCTGTCAACTTAAGTTAAACAAGGCTGCAGATAAGTTGCTCACCAAAAAGGAAAATAAATGGGCTGGGGTTGTGGCTCAGTGGTAGGATGCTTGCCTAGCATGTGTGAGGCACTGGGTTTGATCCTCAGCATCACACAAAAATAAATAAATAAAACAAAGATATTGTGTCCATCTACAACTAAAAAATGAAAAAAAAGAAAGAAAGAAAGTGAGGGTAAGCACAGTGAGACCAGTTTATACAATTATCTCTTAACCTCATGGTCCCTCCCAGGTCTTTTTCTATCAGAAGCCTTGAGGAACTAAAGGGAGAGCTCTAGAACAAGACTGGAGAAGTAGGAAAAGTCTGTATCAAACAGCCATGGAGTCTTTGAAGGAAAATTTGAATTTAGGAAGCCAGGTGTGGGGGCACATGTTGTAATACCAGTCATATGGGAGGTGGAGGCAGGAGGACCTCAAGTTGGAGGTCAGTCTGAGCAACACAGTGAGACAGTCTCAAAAACAATAATAACCAAAAAAAGAAATTTGGAATTTCCTCTGATATGCATTGAAAATCTATTATCAGATATTATTAAAGAGAGTGATACTTAAACTACATTTTGAAGATTATTCTGGGTGCAGTGCACTGAATGAATTAGAGGGGTAAAAGAATAAAAGGGAGTTAAAAAGGCTTTTTACCAATCCAGGTGAGAAACTATCAGGTAGCTAAAATCAAGGTGGCAACAGTAGAGATGGAAAGAACTGAACAAATTAGAGAGATAATTAAAAGCAAAGGAAAAAAGGTGGTCCCCAGGCTCCTGTAAGGAGAAATAGGCTGAATGGTAGCGTTACTTGCTGGGATATCCAAGGGGAAATGTTGAATGTCCTGTTGAAAATAGGAGTTCAGAGGAGTTTTGTTGGGGACATATTTGCCCATAAATGACACTGAAGCCATGGATGTGGATAGTAACACCCAAGAGGAAGCATAAAGTAAGAAGAGAAGGCAGCCCAAGGCTAGCTCTTGAGAAACATGGGTGTTAAAAGACAAGTGAGCCAGACATAGTGTCATCTCCCTGTAATCCCAGCAATTCTGAAGGCTGAGGCAGGAGGATTGCACATTTGAGGCCAGCCTCATCAACTAAGCAAGACCCTGTCTCAAAATAAAAATAAAAAGGATTGGGGGCAGAAAAGAGGAAGTCAGGTGACCGCTGCAGTGGCCGCCATGGTTTTTGCCAGAAGGAAGATGGCAGACTTGGAGGAGAAGTTTTCTGATGAGGAAAAGGTACTTATAGCAGCAAAATTCATCATTCATGTCCCTCCTGGAGAATTTAATGAGGTCTTTAATGATGTTTGGTTACTGCTTAGTAATGATGATCTTCTCAGGAAAAGAATAGTCCATGCATTTGCACAGTATAAGTTGGACCAGTTACTCCAGTAAAAACTGAAGGTTATGATCATGAAGTATTGATAACAGAACATGGCAACTTGGGAAATGGAAAGTTTTGGGATCCAAAAAATCACAATCTGTTCAAATTTGATCACCTAAGAAAGGAAGCAACTGATCTAAGACCTTATGAAGCAGAAAATGCAATAGAATCATGGAGAACTTCAGTAGGAACTGTTCATCAAGCTTACATGAAAGAACATTACCCAAATGGGGTCTGTACTGTGTATAGTGAAAAAAATCAATGGACAGAAAACCATTATTGCATACATAGAGTGCCATCAGTAGCAAGCAAAAAAAAATTGGAATGGTTGTTGGAGGTCAGAATGGAAGTTTACAATCTTTCCTTGGGTCACTCAGGTGGTTGGCATCTTGAATGTTCAGGTTCATTATTATGAAGTGGTGAAGGCGTTGTTCCCCCTCCCACTGAAAGTGCTGGCAAGGCCACACTTGTGAGAAACTGAAACCATGGGACCCTTTTTTATGTAATTGGGACTTTTTATTTTTATGCTCATAAACCTCACAGGAAACATGAGTATACTTATTGCTAAACCAAATCAAATTCTAGATGGCCAGAACATAACAGGTGGTTCATGCCTTAAAGGCTGTCTTACTATCTCTCAGGACATTGAGGAAAAAACAGAAAAATCTCAACAATCATTCTGGGAAAAGCTACAGGAACTCTAGGCACCACAGTTGATTATATCAACTAAGAATCCAAGCTCATATCTTCAGTCTCTCAAAAAGCCTAAGCAGATAGTTATTATGTCTATTGCACGAAGTCCACCATATGTAGCCTATTTGATTAAGGATAGGTTATGGTATTCATCCAGGGGAGAAAAGGCTAATAAAAATATATTTCTCTAATAGACTCCTTCACCTTACACAGGGATTTATGATAAGCACAGTTAATATCGGTGGCAGAAGGACTGACGTACAGACCCTTCCTTTTAGTTAAAGATTACAAAGATTTAAGAACTGGCATACTTTGACTAAGGAACAAAGAAACTTTCTGAGAAAGCAGCTTAACCAGTTTTAAGGGAATAAATGTGGCATTAATTAAGGTTTTATAAGATACATTTTTAGAATAATGTTAGAAATATTTTTAGATTCTTGGGTTTTTAGCTATGGATTTTTTAGATGCTTTAAGAATATTTTATAGATTTTAGGTTGTTATAAGTTCAAGACTTAGGGGACTTTTAGATGGGATCTTAGATTAGAAAGAAAGTACAGGTGTGCCTTTAAACTTAAAGGTTAATGACAGGTTAGGAGACACAGAGTCTAGTTACGTAGATTGGCATCTGTTAAACAAGGAAATGTTACATCCTGGGAAAATCTGAAAATTGTAAATTGATTACACATTTTATTAACGATTCTGTACCCATAATGATAAGAAAAAGCAGAACAAAAAAGGACCCAGAGAAATCAGTTTAGCACTCTCTCTGAAGATTGCTCCAACAGAAGGACTCCTTGTCTCATTCCTTGTGCCTACGTCACTCACACTTCAGGACTCCCTGGATCCTGCTAGCTTAGGACCTCGGCAATGAAAATGGTAATGTTCAGCTAGTGAGTAGTAAAGATATACAAGATTACCTAACAGAGGTGCAGACAGCCAAAGAATTTATGAGGTTTATAGGAGCTGCAGAAAATGAATACCAGATTGTCATCAGTGAGAATTATCAGACAATGTCGGACACTATTTTCAAAGCCTTATATCAACGGTTGCCAGTTACACGTACTAAGATTGATTGGAATAAAATGCTTAGCTACAAGATTGGAAAAGAGATGCAGAATGCATAAGGTGAACATTGCATGACCAGATCATTTTAGTGTCTTTGTGCTTAAATTTTTTTTTTTTTTCCCCAGGGCTGGGATTGAAGCTCAGTGGTAGAGTGCTTGCCTAGCATATGTGAGGCATGGGTTCAATTCTCAGCACCACATGTAAATCAATTAATAAAATAAAGGTCCACTGACAATTTTTTAAATATTTTTAAAAAATTCTTTCCAAAGTATTCAGTCAAGCTGCCCAGTCAACATTGGCTATTGCCATTAAAAAAACACTGCAATTAATTAGTTGGTGAGAGCACAAAGCTTAGCTAATCAACCAGTATTTTTCATTTCTTTTGTTCAAAGAGGGCAGAAAATGAGTTAAGAATTTCTTACTTTGTTATTTCTTCCTTTCTTCCAGTGAAAAGATGATTCCTCTAGTTTATGGTTAAAAGTTTTGAAACATTTCAAAAATACTTTATTTATTGTAACAGTAAAATTATCTTTTGACTTATGATATGGGTAACTTTTGATATTAACCCAATTCTTTTTAATGGGGTCAATAATGGACATTCTACTTTAAGGTGGTTGATAGACTTAGCCATATATGATGCTAAAGAAATTATCTACAATTTTCCCTGTCACCTCTTCCACTAATGTAAGATTGAGATTTGAGGGAAAACATTTTCTCCTATACCAATTGTGTTAAGCCTATCAGTAAGGTTATTTAGTGAGTTTAGTGTTCAACTAAACTTTTTTAAAAACAAGGCCAAGCTATATGCATCTAATGTTTTTTTTCTTATGATAGTTACACAAATCAGCTTGAATTCCATATGTCCCTGAGTTATTTTTAGCATAAAGCCACAAATATATTATAACAAGGCAAGTTGTAATATATATCATCCTGAACTCATGATATATAAAGAACTCAAAAAACTTAATAACTAAAAAACAAAATAACCCAATCAATAAATGGGCAAAGGAACTGAACAGACAACTTCTCAGAAGAAGATATACAACCAATCAACAAACATGAAAAAGTGTTCCACATCACTAGTAGCAATTAGAGAAATGTAAATTAAAACTATATGGACGTTTCATCTCTCTCCAGTCAGAATGGTAATTATCAAGAATACAGGTAACAATAAATGTTGGTGAGGATGTGGGGAAAAGGTACACTCATACATTGTGGGTAGGACTGCAAATTGGTGCAACAACTCTGGAAAGTAGTATGGAGATTCCTCAGAAAACTTGGAATGAAACCACCATTTAACCCAGTTATCCAACTCCTTGGCATATGCGCAAAGGACTAGGGATATAGATCAGTGGTAAAGTATCCCTGGGTTCAATCCCCAGGGGGAGGGGGGGAAGATTGTATAGGTATTTTACAAATTTTCACTTAAAGATCAAATTTACTTGCTTAGCCTAAATTAATTTTTAATGTTAGCCTTATTTTTTAAGTACATAACTGTTATAGTTAAATCAACATCCGGGGGTTTCATAAATTGACATCCAGACCGCTCATATATAACCGAATCAAACCTTTATTGAAGCACACCAGCAGCAACTGACAGGGAACATAAAGTCTGTTCCAGATCAGCCCCAAACAATTGCAAGGGCACTCCTTTTAAGCTTGAAAGCCACAAAAGGGATATTTGGGTGTTTAGCCAATGCAAGCAAGTCAAGTTACAGAAGTGGGAGAGTGTAGTCAGGTGGCGGGAAGCTTAGCCAATCACAATTAGCCCAGTCACCCCAGTTACAGAAACAGAGCCCAGTGTTCTTGAGGGTTTCTACAACAAAAGGAAAACCAACTTGCCCCAGTCATGACCTTTTTATTTGGCATGGCTGTTTTACAAAGTGGAGTTACTCAACAAAATTGAGTCACTTTGGCTTGACTATCACATAACATGTCTAAATGTCTCAAAAATTATTTTAAATGTACAGTGAAAGTTTGCTTCTTGCCATGTCCCTCAACCTAGTTTCTCTCTTAGGGAACAAATGTGAATTTATCCAGCTCATTCTTTGCAATAGCTAAACAGTAAATATTGCATGCCTTCCATTACTAAACTTTAACACAAAACCTAGGGATGAAGATTTAGTTTGTTAGTAGTTTTTGGCTCAGTGGTTAAATGCCCCTGGATTCAAGACCCACCAAAAAAAGAAGTCTTTTCCTGTTATGAAGCTATGGATAATCTTGTACGTTATTTTGTACAAACATGGGTGTCTTAAATTTGTTTTCATGGAAGCAGAGACTGGGCAAGTGATTTGTTAGGAAAACACTTGTTCTTTTTGTTTTGTTTTGTTTCTTTTTGTGTTGTAGCACTGGAGACGAAACTCTAGGCTTCGCTCATGCTAGTGAAATATTCTACCACTGAGCTGCACTGCCAGTCCCTCTAGAAAAGCATTGTGAGAAGATATCCACATGAGGAAAGCAAGACAGGAAGATGAAGAAGTAAAGCAAAAATGTGGTTCTAAATAAAATCTAGGTTTGACCTGTTCTTATATACAACTCTGAAGCACAAACTTCTAGAGAACCTTAGACCTATCCTGCTAGCTTTCATTCTGTCAATCTCATAAACTGTTTAGGAGTTTCAGCTGGGGTGGGGTTGACAGCAGGCACATGTTCTTACGGGGAGTTAAGCAGCATTGCCTCAGAATTGAAACTTTGGAATCTCCAGATAAAATGGCTCCCCACCTAAAATGGCAAATCTGATGCCAATAGTTATAACTCTTAGGTAGAGTGCTCTGGGTTCAATCCACAGTACTGAAACAATAGAGAGGGAGGGAAGGAAGGATGGAGAGGGAGAGAGTGTGTCTAATGTGTGTCAGACATGGGCTAACCACAAACCATAGAGACTTAGTGACAAATATGATATATAACTTGAGCATCCCTAATACAAAAATCTAAAATGCTCCAAAATTTAAAACATTTTGAGGGGCTGGGGATGTGGCTCAAGTGGTAGCGCGCTCGCCTGGCATGCGTGCGGCCCGGGTTCGATCCTCAGCACCACATACAAACAAAGATGTTGTGTCCGCCAAATACTAAAAAATAAATGTTAAAAAATTCTCTCTCTCTCTACCTCTATCTCTCTCACTCTCTCTTTAAAAAAAAAAAAAACATTTTGAACACTGACATGATACCATAAGTGGAAAATTCCATACCAGACCTCATGAAATGGATTGTAGTAAAAACTCAGGAGCACAACACATAAACTTTGTTATATACACAGAATTATGAAAAATATTGTATAAAATTATCTCCAGGCTATATATCATATGTATGTGTTTTGTGTGTGTTTGTGTGTAATATATATATATTATATATATATATATATATAAATTTAGAATAGGGCCCTATCCCCAAGATATCCCCAAATCCAACAAACTGCAAAATCCCAAACACTTCTGATACTAAACATTTCACTTAAGGGACACTTAACATCTAATCCCCGGATACTAAAACTAAAGGGATTAGTGAGGGAGATAAACAAGTGAACAGATATCATATGCTATAGATTGAGTCTTAAATGTTTCTCAAAAGCCCACTTGTTAAAGGTTTGGTCACCAGTTTGAGGTGCTACTGGAAGATAGTGGAACCTTTAGGAGTAGTGTAATGCCAGATTTGTGGGACCCCAATAGAGCTCCAGGAGCCGAATCCGATGCAATCACACGAGTCTTTATTGTAAGCCTGGACTCACAACTATTCCAACGCAGCGGAATGAGTTCAGTGAGGATTTATAGGTTTTTGGGGGGATACTCAATGCGTCACAACATCACACAGCAAATCATTTCACGTCGCGGGAAAGTCAAACAACAACAACTCTTAACATTGATTAACACATTCATTGGTGGGAACAAGTCGGGTAAGGGTGATTGGTTAGTTCAAGTGGTGGAGACATTTGAACTGATTGGTTTAGGCCGCGAGGGGTTGCAAGAATGTATATGCTAAAGTGCAGGGTTGCCTAATCATGTTATCAATCACCAAAACTACCTGGTATTTCAGATATTTTCCCTGTCTCCCACTGATTGGTGGTTGCTAGGGGGTTACTATGGGTCCTCACCTAGCGTAATGAGTCAGGGACACTGGCACCACAGATCTCCCCTGTTAAACAACTCAGCAGGGTGGGTATGTGCCTAGGAGGCTCTGTGGGTTTTTCCAAGGACAAGGGTCACGCCCCCTCTCTCTGGACAGGACTTAAGGTAGACGCTGCTTTCTCAAAAAATGGAGTCACGTCAGTTTCTCAGTAGGACCTAGTGCAAAAGTTAGGTCACCAGGCTTGTGCCCTTGAAGGGGCATGGGACCTTGGCTCCTTCCTCTCTCACTTCCCAGCCATCACTAGTTGAGCAATCTTAGTTTATCATGTGCTTCCCACCATGGTATGCTGACTCAGCACAGGACCCAAAGCAATGGAGCCAACTAACTGTGAACTTTAAAACTGTGAGCCAAAATAAACATTTCCTCCTTTTAAGTTCATTAACCTCTGATATTTGTCACAGCGACTAAAAGCTAACACATCATGTGATAAAATGAAACTGAAAGTATATTATTTTAGATACAATTAGGAAAATTTTCTTCAGTTGCCTTCTGTGACTCATTCTCTCTTGATTTTGCTATTTCACTGGCTGCTACCCCCTGTTACCCATTGCTAATTCCTCTACAGTGCTCCAAACTCTAAATTTTAGAGTGCCTCTAATTCATTCTTCGGACCTCTTCCTCTCTGTCTACTTTACTCCTGAGGTATACTACAAGCTGATAATTTCCCATTTATATTCCAGCCCAAACCCCTGAGTATAGCTCTGAATTCCTGTTTGACATCTCCATTTGGATGTAAGATAGGCATCTCTGGCTCAGCTTATCTAAAAACAAATTCCTGATTTCTTCCTCAAGCCCACTCTTATAGCATCTGTATCTCAGTGGGAAAATTTTTTTATTTTACACACTTAGAACAAAAATCTTGTAGTCACTTTTGACTTCTCTCTTTTCCTCATACTTTGCATAAGTCCCTTAATAAATCTTATTGATTTTAAATTCA